GGGGTCATATCTAGAGAATAAAATTAAGGGGTGAGAGAGGATTATTCTAGGAGAAGGAGAAAGGGAGAGGTAGAACAGGGTAAATTATCTCCCAAAAAAAAAAAGAAAAGAAAAGGCTCTTTCAGTGAAGGGGAAACAGGGGAAGGTGAGAGGGAATGAGTGAATCTTATTCTCGTAGGATTTGACTTGAGGAGGGAATAACATACACACTCGGTAGGGTATGGAAAATTGTCTTATCCTACAGGAAAATGGGGGGGCACAAGAGAGTAGGGGGATGATAGAGAGGAGGGCAGATTGGGAAAGGGGGTAATCAGAAGCAAATACTTCTGAGGAGGGACAGGGTCAAAAGAAAGAATAGAATAAATGGGGGGGCAGGATAGGATTAAGGGAAATAGAGTTAGTTTTTCACAGCATGTCTACTATGGAAGTGTTTTGCATAACTGCACATGTATAACCTATATTGAGTTGCCTGCCTTTTCAATGAGGGTGGGTGGGGAGGGAGGAAGGGAGAAATTTTGGAACCCAAAGTTTTAAAAACATTAAAAAAAAATGTTTTCACATGCAACTGGGAAATAAGAAATACAGGAAATGGGGTACAGAAATCTGTCCTGCCCTACAGTAAAGTAGAAGGAGAAGGGGATAAGAGAAGGGGGGAGGATAGAAGGGAAGGAAGACTAGGGGAAGGGGTATTCAGAATGCATGCCATCTTGGGGTAGGGGGAGGGGGGAGATGGTGTAAAATTTGGAACTCAAAATCTTGTGGAAGTAAATGTTGAAAACTAAAAATAAATTTATTACTAAAAAAACTAATAAAAGAAAAAAATTCATTATGAAGCAAAGAGAGATATGAAATAAAAACAATGTTCAACATCAGTTTTAGAAAAAGAAAATTTTTTCTGTATTCATGGAAGGAGTGCCCACACCTACTATATCAAAGACCTTTCAAAAAATGGATGTGTTTAATTGAAAACTTCTGATGCCTTCGCTGAACACATTTACTCATTCTCTTTTCAGGGGAAATGATAAAGTCATAATCCTTGGCATTTGTTAAATTGATACTCATTCAGTTTGACAATTTAGGTTTCATCTCCCATTCGTACTTTCTGACAACTGTTTAAACAATCCTTACATTTCTTTCTGTGATCAAGGTAAAATGGCCTCTTGGAAATTCTCAATTCTTTTAACAAAAAAAGCTTTTGAAAAAGAAATACATTTTCTTCCAAGCTAGAACATTGGTAAAAGATTAGAAGGAAATTCTAAACCTCAACAAGCAGATTTTTTTTTCAGTAAAATAAGAGAATACAGAAGCTATGTGTATTTAATTTAGATTATGACCCACTGTATTAGCATGTCATATCAGGACTTTTTTTCCCCTTAGTTGTCTCAAATGCCCTCTTTTCCCTATCTATAACTTTGTTTCTTTAACAGAAAAAAAAAAACTTTTTAGCACAGGTAACACTGTTTAAAAGGAAATATAAAATGTGTTCCTTAGAGAATTTTGAATTCAAGATGAGGAAATTCAGCTTTATCAACATCTATATCATCTCCACTAGTGCTACCCCCACTTCCTCATCATCTCTTTACTACTTAGCAACCTGCCATTTTGGCTTCATCCTTCACCCCCTTTTTTTTTTTTAAATTATCAAGCATTTATTTTTCCTCTCCCTTTATTTCTTCTCCCCCCCACCCCAGAAAAAAAAAAAAAGAAAGAAAGAAAGAAGAACAAATCTTGTAACATGTGTAGTCAACCAAAACAAATTCCCATATTGGCCATATGCAGAAATATGTCTCTTTCTACATATTAGTCCTTTCCTTCTCTGCCAAAAGGTGTGAGTACTTTCTTCATCATTAGTCCTTAAGTAATGATTGATCAGAGTTCATAAAACCTTTCAGAATTGTTCATTTCTGCAGTGTTCTTGTTAAAATGTAATTCTACATTCATTTATGTAAGACTACCCAGGTTTCTCTAAAACCATTTCTTTAATCATTTCTTTTAGAAGCATAATATTTCATTACTTTTTCCGTCTTATGCTGTATACTAAGATAAGGTGAAAATGAGTACATAATTTAGAAATAAAGGGTGATATAAGCGACTTGGGGAGCATGGAATAGTTTACCTGTCAGGTCTATGAATAAGCGAAGAATTTGTGACTAAACAAAAGATAGAGAACATTACAGAATGTAAAATGGATAATTTTGATTACATTAAATTTAAAATCTTTTGCACACACAAAACCAAAGCAGCGAGGATTAGAAGGAAAGCAGGAACCTGGGGGGTTGGGGGGGGTAGATTTTACAGCAGGTTTCTCTGATTCATTTCTGAAATATATAGAGAAATAACTCAAACGTATAATAATATGAGTCTTCCCCCAACTGATAAATGGTCAAAGGATATGAACAGGCAGTTTTTAGAAGAAGAAAAAAGCTATTTATAGTCATATCAAAAAATACTCAGTCACTAACGATTAGAGAAATGCAAATGAAAACAACTCTGAGATACCGCCTCACCTCTGTCAGATTGGCTCATCAGGAAAGCAACAAGTACTGGGGATGTGGAAAAATTGGGACTCTAATGCGGAGTGGTGAACTGATCCGGCCATTTTGGTCCAGCAATACCACTACGAGGTCTGTACCTCAGAGAGATCAGAGAAAAAGGAAAAGGTGCTATGTGTACAGAATTATGTATAGCAGTTGTTTCTGTGGTGACAGAGAATTGGAAATTGAAGAGATGCCCATTGCTTGGGAATGGCTGAACAAGTTGTGCTATATATTTGTGATGGAATAATATTTTGCTATAAGAAATGACAAGCAAGATGTTTCAGAAAAATCTGAGAAGATTTAGATGAACTGATGCAAAGTGAACTGAGCAGAGCTAGGAGATCATTGTACGTAGTAACAGCACTACCGTAATGATGATCAACTGAAAGACTTCGCTATTCTTGGCAATACAGTGATCCAAGACATTTCCAAAGAATTTATGATGAAAAATGCTGTCCACCTCCACCAAAAGAACTGGGTGGAGTCTGAATGCAAATCAATGCATACATTTTTTACTTTCTTTTTCTTTTTTCTTTTTTCTTTTTTTTGATCTGTGAGTCCCTAGAATAAAAGAGGCTGCTTATGGCCATCATGCTTCCCTTCAGTCTTCATTAATTTCAGTAGTGTGAAGTAGTGTGCTGTCTCAAATAACTTTGTTCCTTATAAAAGTCACCCGCTTTCCTTTTTAAAATGTTACTTTTTGTAGACTTTTAATCTTGTACATTTAGGTTCTTAGTAACCCACAAAGGCCAGAGCTAGTGACTTTGAAAATGTAATACCTATTATATGATGTAATTTTGGTCTCAAGGAATGTGTCAATATATTTTGTCTTCATTGGTATCTGAAATGTTTTGGTTTTTTTGTTTTGTTTTAATTTAAACATTTTATGTTTATAAGGAGTTCAGTGTGTTTTATAGGCATTGGTACCATTATAGTAAGGATTATTTTTCATATTTTTAGTTTACTATTTAATACAGTAACTAATTAAATGGTTCTATTAATTGTTCAACCAAGAATTCACTTAACAGTCTGGGTAATTAGTATGAAGTAAATATTCTCCTCTACTTCACCAACTAGTACCCAGAAGAGTTAATGCTTGAGTAGTTATCTCTAGAGATAATTTTCTCATCCTAATTTGTTCATACTATCAAATTTCTTGTTGAGTCTCATAGGATACATGTAAAATGTTTTATAGATGGAAGTGAGGTGCCGGGAGGAGGGAGAATGGATTACTGAGGCCAAAGTGAAAGAATTGATTTTGTAAGTTTTTAGAGAATAGTTAATAACAGAAGTCATCCCATAGCTGTAATGTCTAGCCCTTTGGTCTGATATTTTAAATATAGAGTAAGCTTTGTCATTAGCACTAGAATTATAGAACAAAAATATAAATGTTTTTACATTTCTTTTTTATTCTTTTTAACATTTTCTTTTTTCCCCCATTTATATGAGAAACAATTTTTACCATTCGTTTGTTAAAATATTTGAGTTCCAAATTTTCTCTCCCTCCCATCCTTCCCCCCTCCTCCCCACTTTATTGAGAAGGCAAACAATTTGATATAGGTTATACATGTGCAGTCATGAAAAACATTTCCAATAAACATAATTTTTTTTTTAGGCAATTGGGGTTAAGTGACTTGCCATGGGTCACACAGCAAATATATAATTTTAAATGAACTTAAAATTCAGGGGTGGAACAGCCCTAGTGTAATAATTGGTGTCAAGGAACAAGGATAGCATCTGTGTTTGTGGAATTTTTGTTCAGAGAGGATATGCTGTGCGATTGACGTACCACCATGTCCTCTTCCTAAATCTCTAGTTAACTTTACTAATAAAAATGTACTATTTAAATTGACCTACATAATGCTCCCTTATGTTGACACAGAGCCTATGCTTTGTACATTGTTTTCCTATATATTTGCTCATAATATCTTTCCAGAATCCTATGAGGTAAATAGAACAGGGAATATTACCCTCACTTTACAGATGAAGAAAGTGTTTCAATGCAGGTAGAAAGCCAGAGAACCAGACAGAACAAAGGTTATACCTCCTCTTTGTAGAAGTAGAAGCGCCTGTTGTTTTAGGCAACTCTTACCTCAACCTTGAGGGGACACATTTAATGGCTATGCATTCGTTGGAGTGGGCTTTTGTTACATTTGGTTCCCATTTTCAAACTCATGTACTTTTGTTCTTTGGCTGCTCATATATCAGTTTTACGTCTTCTCTTTTGCTCTAAATGGCTATTTCTTCATACCTATTTATTTCTACTTTTTTCCCATCCCATGCATTTTTTTAACCGAAATCCATATGAACTCAAACTGTCTTTAACTATTAGTCTTTTTATTGATTTCTCAAGGCAAGAGTCTTACTCTAGTCTAAGAAAAACATCTTTATCAAACTGCCATCAATTTTCTCTAAATCTTTGCAGTTTTTACTAATGTTATTTTGGTTTTCTTTTCTTCCAAGCCATTGACAGCTCCTCTACAACCAGCAGTGTTTCTCCTGTGCCCAACAGCTTTGATGTCCTAGAAGGCGGGAGCTATCCAGGTGACACATTGGGTGTGTTGGCTTAATAACTCTTGTAAAAAATAATGGACTTCCAGGGAAGACCTTGTATTAGAATAGAGGACGGGTCTTCCTGTTGACTCTCTCTGCCTGGTGTTTTTATACTGCCAGTGAGCTAAAATGGTTATAACATTTTTAAAAATACAATAAAACTTTATTTAAAAGCATAAAAACCATTCCTAGCTCTCAGGCTATATACAAAAACAGGCAGCAGCTGTAGTTTGCCAGACCTTGGAATAAACCATTTTATATGTAGCACTATCAAAAAAGCAGTGGTTCCAAACATGGCATTCTAGTCTACAAATAATGAAAATGTTTATTTTCAACAAAAGGACATTTTAGTAATGTTTATCATTTGCTTTAATTTATAATTTTAAGCATCATATACACTATATTTCTAAAGCAATTTCATCATATTATTACTTTGGAAAAGAAGATGTGATGCTAATTTCTTTTTAAGTTGATATCTTTTACCCCTCTACAAGATGACTTTAAAAAATAAATCTCATGATAATCCCTTTCCCCCTTCCCCTTTTCTTTGGCCCTTGTTTTCCCTCAAAATCTTATCTAAAGTAAGTTTAGCTTTTGATCCTTTCTTCCACCTCTTCATTTAGGATATTATGCATACCATGCCATCATGGTTTATGTCTCAGTTAACACAATCTTAGAGATAGGTTTAGGATCCATGAATTTTAACCAGACCTTTCAAAACTTTAAGTCACATCAGAAGAACAGTTAATTTTTTTTTTTTTTTTTAAGGACAAAACCAGACAGGCATATTTCCTATAAAAATTACCCCTTACCACAGAAGAGTGCAATTAATGCATCAGCTCGGAGCCAAATAACTGATATCTTTTTACTGTGATTATCTTGGGCCGATGTTATTTCTTAATATTATGGGAAACAAGAGGTAAATTTGAGTCAGTAAGCAATGTTTTTAGAACTCAAATTTTTTTGAGACACTTACAAGGATATATCATGGCAGGAACTCATTATTGACAAAGATTAAGTCTTACTTCATATAAAATAAGGAATCCTTGCTCACTCTAAATTTATTACTGTGTCCTCATTCTTTCTATTTTCCATCTCCCTCCTCATTACATAGTCTCCCTAGCTGCCCTTTCCAGCACTGATTGTACTTTCAGACATTCCCTCTCCTCCACCAACCACCCCCCAACTGGCTGGTCAAGGTGGAGAAGTTGGAATACTTGCTACCCCATTGCCATTTCCCTCTACCTCCATTATTCAGTAACCTCTGCTCCTTTGAAATTGATTCAGTATAGATCTGCCACCCAATTCAAATTCTGGTAGCTGTTGTCTGTTGACCTTCAGGACACTTTCTTTCTTTCCTCTTTGCATTTAAGGCAGGGGTGGGGAACCTGCAGCCCTTTTGGGTCCTTGGTTGCGGCCTTTTGACTGAGTCCAAGTTTTACAGAACAAATCCTTTTATTAAGGGGATTTGTTCTCTGAAATTTGGATTCGGTCAGAGGGCTGAATTTGAGGATCTGAAGAGCCACATGTGGCCTCTCTATTGTACCATGTTGTTGCCTTATATGATACAACTCCATTTTCAGGGAGATGTGACAAGGCAGAGGTCAGTTTTAGTAGAAAAGGAAGAAAAGTGGTTTTTCCTAAAAATCGAAAGAGGATGCTGCTGACTATTAGGGTAGGATCTATTGAATTGAGCATAGCTGCATTTTTGAAGTTTGTTTTCAAGGTGCTGACTCCGTATTTATCTCTTTGTTAGATCCGCTTTCGTCATCGACCACCAGTCCAGCTCCGGCTCTCTCTGTTCCTCAGGCAACCAAACCTGCTAAGCCCTTTGGCTATGGGTATCCAATCCTTCAGCCTGGTTATCAGAATGTAGGGCTGAGTTCTGGAGCACAACCTAGTAACCCAGCATATTCTGGATTCCAGCAGTTTGCCCAGGTATGTGTAAAGAGTGGCGTTCTTTAGTCTGAGCAGATTATCATAATTATCATCCTAATCAAAGTCCAGGTCATACTGATGAGGATGGGATCTGGACCCCAAAAAGGAAAAACCTTGGACTTTCCCACGTGGCCACATCTCTGGAGTTCGCGAGGCTATAATCTCATCCACTGGCCTTTCATTGTGGCTATGCCCAATCTCCCAATTCTCTATTACCCTTAACCTAGTCTAGCCCTCCATTACCTCACAGTCCCGGCAGACTACTTGGCCACTCCTAGATCTCTCTCACAGTCTCTCTGTTTATAAGGTCCATCTTGTCTCCATTAAAGTGCTCAGATTCTTAAAATCTAGCAATTGCTCAGATTCCTTAGGAGTCCGCCCAGTATGATGGATGTTCTAATAAACCTTGTCTTTAGCTGAAAGAAGGTTTGGGTAGAATTCATTCGGGCAGGACCCACTTGTCATGATTTTGGGGTCCCAGCACCCCTCAACCTCATCATTTTGGTGGCCCATACAGGGAAACTGCCTTATCCCAAGTTCTTCTCCAGCCAAGACTGGAAGGTATGCAAGCCTCCTCCCCTTCTTTCTTGCCCTGCAGTTGGGGTCGCTCACCAAGCACCTAGCAAGGCTTGGAGGTGCTTTTCGGGCAGTGATGCTTCCAGGCTCTCAGTCCACTGGTTCAGTTTGAGGCCTTGGACCTGGGTACACCTTCCGCGTATAGAGGATAAGAACTTCCCTATCTGGAAGCATATGTCCAATTCTGTGTTCTTTTGGCGCTGGAGAACTGGGAGATCCCAGTTGATGAGCATTATAGCCTCAGGTGAAAGCCAGAGATTTGGCCATGTGGAAAAGTCCAGGGTTTTTCCTTCGGGGTCCAGATCCCATCCTCATCACTATGTAACCTATCATGATTGAACTTCACCTGCCGAAAGGAAAAAGGATTATCTGCTGTTATTTCTTCCATCTTCTAGTATGGGGAATTTGTTTTGAGCTCACTTGTCCCATTTGAAAACAGCATTATATCCTCCCAAAACTATTTGACTAAAGTCTGCTTAGTAAGAAACTGACATCGTTCTGTTAAGATACTTGTGCTAGTGATATCACTGTTGGCCTGAGCTGTGTGATCCTTGGGCCTTTTTGTCTGTCTTGTCCTCCCTCTTCCCAGTTGTAATTAGCTACTGCCACACTTAGCATAGGCTAGTCTGACACCATCTCAATTTAACAATATGGAAAAGTGAGCATTTTGAGTTGGTGTTTACTGGCAATAATAGCTCACATCATTCCTGTAAATTAAAGTTTATAAAGGAGTTTCCTCAACAACTGTGTGAAGAAATCATTGTGAGTGTTATTTTTTTCAATTTTACAGATGAAGAAACTGAGGTTCAAAGAATTGGTGACATGTCCAGGGTCACACAGCTAGTAAGTGTCAGTGCTAGAATTTAATTAGACCTAGGTCTTCTGATTCTCAAGTGTTCTGTTGCACTGGGAAAAATAATTTAAATAGAGCAGAATTTCCCCAAGATTGACAGGAAGGCTCTCTGCTTGGAATCAAAGGCCCCTGCTCAGCCTGCCTTAAAGAATGTTCTCAGTCTCAGAGTGGCTAAGAATGAACATTAGAAGCTGGTTGACACCTTAGTCAGAGGCTTAAGTCACAAAGAACTAAAGCCTTCTAGGGAAGGTGCAAAACAAGGAGCAGGAAAAAACTGTAACATTAATAGTAGCAAAAATAATAAAAGTGATGGTGATGGCTGGCATTTTAAAGTTTGAACACATTATTCACTTAAGCCTCACAATCCTGGGAGGTAGGTATTATAAATGTTAATATCACTGTTTTACAGATTAAGAATTTAGACTTAAGTTAATCCATGGTCACCCAGTTCGTAAGTATCAGGACTAAAATTTGAACCCAAATATTCTAACTTCAAGTCTAGTACTTTGTTCCATAATTCCTGCCTCTCTATAGGCGCAGAGATTTTCCTGAGCTCTGCTTGAGTAAATTGCTTTTATTTGTTCATCAGTTCAGATAAAGGTTTGACTTGATAAACTGGTTTGATTGTTTTTGTGTTAGAACCAATAATTCCTACTCTTGATCATATGTAATTTTTCCTGCTGTCTTAATAAGGAGATACCAAATGTGAATGGATTCTATGGGCTGGATGTTTGGGGGTTAGAAAGAAACCAAACTTTTTATTGTTATGGTTGGAAAATACCATAAGTAATGTGTTAGAATAAAGGAATAAGACAGTGGAAGGCACCGATTGTATCCTTCCCACTTTAATTGCCTCCAGGAGTAAAAATGAAAATGAATCTTTTGTATGTCACTGTGATATAGGCCCCTGTCCTGTGAGAAATTGGGAGGCTTCCCAGAGATAGGATCTTAGGGTTGGCTGAGCACCCCATCAATTGCACTCCATAGTGTCCCTAATTTTTTTGGACTAGAAATAGGGCAGGATGTGGGGAGTTAGGTTAAAGGAACAATTGGACAGGTGTGTATTGTAAGCAAAAAGTAAGGGTGTTCTGCTGGATGACAAGTGAAAAAGTATTTGGTCCTATTAGCCTAGGGGACATTGTATCTGTTACCAACACTGTGAACTACTAGATTCTCTTATTTTCTGTCCTCTAAACCTGGCAGAGATTTAGGTCTGAGATGTTTGTCTCTTGTCAGAAAGATGGCAAAGGCTCTTTGCCTGGCTTTGTTTTTTGACACATTTCAAAACCATGTCCAAAATGATACCTGTCACCTAGATGTAAATTGTTAATATGTTTATTAGCTATATTAATCATTCTAAAAGATTAGAACTTCAATAACTATCCTAGTTTTTATAGATGCTTGTTTTTAAAAAAAATGTTTCTCTTACTGTGATAAATTGCTTAATTTGAAGCTTTATGACAAAAATTAAAATGCCTTTAAATATTAAGACTTGCTATAAAACCCAGTTAAAGACTATGCAGTTTTTTTAAATGAATTTTTATTAATGTCTTTTGTTCTTCCCTTGTCTAAATTTCCCCCACCACCTTCCAGAGCATCCCACAAAACAATATCTCTGTACCTGTTATCCCTGCAATAGAGTGGGGTGAATTATCTTCTGATTTCTCTACTTTGGGGTGATTGTCAAGTCTTGGTTCCTTCGTGATGATCATTAATTGGACACAACCTTCTAATAAGTAATGTGACTGCCAAAAACAAAAAAAAACATAGAGCTTATTAATCAATGGTTTGGTTTTTTTTTACTGTTGAAACAGAGGAAAAATGTGAGTAGACAAGTCAGCATGGGGTTATTTACTCATTAGTATAAGAGATCTTAAATTTTCTGCATCTTTTGTAGATACAGGGTAACAGACTAAGATCACATTTGGTTTGGTTTGGTTTGGTTTTTTTAATAATGCTCTTATTTTTCAGCAGTATCCTGGTATGAATCAGTTGTCATCTAGTCTAAGCGGATTAAGTCTCCAGCATTCTTCTCAACAACCAGAAAGTCTGAGACCAATCAACCTCACTCAAGATAGGAATATTCTGCCTGTGACTCCTGTTCTGGCTCCTGTTCCTAACTTGAATTCAGACCTGAAAAAATTAAATTGTAATCCTGAGTAGGTATATGTTTTGTAATCTTTTTAATGTATTATTTCTTGATAGAAGATTTTTTTTTATATTGGCATTAAAAGTAGTAAAAATGGTATGGAATGTGTTGATCTGGAGACAGTACCAAGGATGGTTTTTCACTTTAAATTAGCATGGAATTTAACATGGAAATGGGAAGCACAAAATGTAGTCCCTCTATTTTAGAACCGCTTTATTTTCAGAAATTTCTGGCAATTAGAGCATATTTTTTCATTTGGGGATAATTTTTGTTTTATTCAGAGATAGTTTCTTCCTCTTTCTTGAACATATTCTAAGTCTTGGTGAGGAAATTTTCCCTAATACCCTAATAAGTTAATAACAATTTCTTTTTCTCCTTTTCATCCTTTTTTCCCCAATGGAAAGAGCGCAGGACTTGGAGTCAGCAAACTTGGCTCTAATACTTGCTAGTTGAGTGACTATGGGAAGTCACTTAAGCTCTGCCTGAGCCTCAGTTTCCTTGTCTATAAAATGGGGATGATAATACTTGCACCTTCCAGGGCTGTTGTGGAGAAAGCGCTTTGTAAACCTTAAAGCACTATATAAATGTGAGTTGTTACTATCAGTAGTTATAATAAAACAATAATCTTGTAAACAGTTCCTCTCTGTTTTTGATATTTTGTGCCCCCTTTTCAGCCTTTACTTAGCTAAGATACATCTGTTCATTTAGTAAATTTTTATGTAAGCCCAAGGAGAGGTTTAGGCAGAGGGTTTGCCCCTTGATATTCTTATATTCATCAGGGGATATGAAAAAAACAAACAACAGTATCATTGCCCCATCTTGAATCTTAATTTCAGTTTCCTTTCTGTTGCATTCTTTCAGTTAGAGATCTAACTCTCCACCTTCATCTGGCCTGCTACTAAGACCCCATTTCACCTCCTAATTAGAAAATAATAATGATAGCTGACATTATATAGCGCTGTACAAAGTGCTTTCACGTGCCTTCTCTTATTTAAGCGTCACAACATTTCTGTTGCTTTCCTCCCATTTTTCTGCCCCTTATGTTTGAGGAAATCGAGGCTTAGAAAGGCTATGCCATGCCCAAGGTCACACAGCTGATAAATCATAGAGCCAAGACTCAAACCTAGGTCTCTGACTCTAGATCAGTTCCTTGTAATACTCCATATGAACCTGTTACTAATCAGGCTTGGCACCTGTCTCCCAGGTCCTCCTAAATAGAATATCCCCTGTGCCTTCCGGCTTCCCTGTCCTTGTAATGAGATGCCCTCGTGCTCCCTGGGTGTCCTTCATGAGAGTTCATGTATTCCTGAAACTCATCCTTTCTATCCAAAAGTAGACTCAGGATTCTCTAAATAGGAAAAGGCTCCTATTATGTAGGGTCTATTAATACTCTGCTTAAGAATCAGTAAGTACCTTTAATTTATTTCCCAGGGACCATAGCCCTTGAACTTTCTTGATTTCCAGTTCTTTTCATTTGTTTGACTTCTTGCTATAGTAGCTGCCATTTGTCTTCACTAAGAATTATTTGTTTTTAGCACACCTTCTCTTTTTCCTAGCTTGACCCACTGCTTTATTTTTTCGTCCCTAATCAAGCTTCCTTCCTGTCTTTCTAAAAGACCTTAGCAGTAAGTGAAATTGAGTTGACTCCCACAGCAGCCCTGCTTGTCCTGCCTTTCGTGGAGTCTACTCCACGGAATTCTGTGCCACACATGCCTGTCCAATGAGGCCAGGTGTCTGTCAGCCAGGGACTCCCAGAACACTCACCCGGAAGGGTCCCCCTGCTAATGAAGCAGTGAAGCCCAAATGTCTAATTATCCTTCACTCTCAGAGACCTCTTAAAACAACCTGCTAATCCATCCTGTCCCTGCCTTCCCCCCAGGGAGCCTAGACCATTCTTTGGAATGCCACTCTTCAGAGTCCCCATATTCCTTCTCCAGGCCTAGTCCTATCACTGCCCTCTTCCTTTGTTCTTCTGGGGAGTTGAGTTGCAACTTGGGAGGTGACCTCCATTACTTGGCTCTTCCTGCTTTTGGTCAGGGAAGCACATACTAGTCAGCTCTGAGCCTTCTCCAGCCCCTGTATCACACTTGAGTGGGCCCCACCAGAGTTGGGTTTTCCCCCTTGGGAACTGAGGTGGGCTGCTGAGTTGTCGGCGGGATTGGACTGTCTCAGAATTATGAAGTGGGTGAAATTTGTTTTTGGGTCCTCCCATCTCCCCTACTACAGAAATATTTATTAAAGCTTAAAGCTTCACTAAGACTTTTGGGGCCTCCTGTATAAACCTTGGGACTAGAATAGACCTCAGAACTTGTCATTGATTTATATTAATTTTATCATGGAAACATTCTTCATACTGGTTGATCATTGTACATGGGGGGAGCAGAATTGCCATGGATCTGAGATACCTCATTTTTGCCCAGCTGCAAAAGCTTTATCCATTGTCTGCCTCAATAGGTTGTAGTTATTTGGCACCTTATCAATACTATATGAAGTCAGAAAATTTTTGTTTTGTGTCCTTGTTGATTTTGTTCATGATGTAATTGCTGGGTCATTAGGAATTCTTAGCACGAGAAAGTGGTTAGCATAAGAAAACAAGAAAGTTAAAGTCAGTCTGAGAAATAAACCTTATAGGAAACTAGCAGGACTTTGTTGGACTTTAGCTTTAACATGTGCAATAGAAGGAAGTATCCTGAGGTAGTAATATAGGCCTGGGATGTTATTTTTAGGTGAATTTGTGACTCATTTTATTAAATACTTAATTCTGGCTTTCTAGTAAGGGAATTTTGGTTAAGTATTATCACATTTGTATCAGTATGAACATTTTATGACTCAAACTAGAACAGATCTGAAGCCTAGGGGAAATTTTTTCTAATTGGGCTAACTGTGCTAGGAATACCATTCATTCTTTGATGAGGCAACCTTATTCTTGTTGCTATGTGAAACGAAGCTACATGTATAAGGAGTCACATGTAAGTCTTATCAACAAGTGACATGGGGAAGTGGAATTAAGATAGCTAGCCCTCAGTGACAAGAATACGAACAGGGAATGGTTCTTAATATGGTAATTTTCCATCATGAGAGCTTCTGAGACCTCTTTTTAGAGCTTTGTATTATGTTTTTGTATTTAAAGTGATCAAGTAACATCTGATGGTTTCCCTATAATCTGCTGAAATATTCTTAACTGCTGTGATTGTTTATAACTTAGCCTCTATCGCTTTGGTATATTTTAGCCTGAGAGCTAAACATGATATTCTTTTCATTTGCCTTTCAGTTCATTTCGATGTACTCTGACAAATATTCCACAGACTCAGGCTTTATTGAATAAAGCTAAGCTTCCTTTAGGGTTGTTGTTGCATCCCTTCAGAGATCTCACGGTAAAGTGTCATTTTTATATTTTGTTCTTGGATGGAGAAATGCATGGTTATGTATTGTACATCGATTGAATATTTTTTCTTCCCTGTTTTTGTTTTTAACTTGTAAGAGAAAAGTACTCCAGTTTGTTAGCATTCAGTTCAGCAAATATTATCATCTACTATGTGCAGCAAAATGGTGGTAGAGGATATGCATAGTTTTAATTCCTATTTTCATAGAGGCTACTATCTAATAGTGGAGTATGACATGCAAAACTATTTTACAGTATCATGTATGGTGCATTCATAGGAGAGCTTTTAAATAAATTGCTGGATAAGATACAGAGCAGGGAACATGATTATAACTGAGAGAAACAAGGGACAGTTTGGGAGAGAGGTCGGGGCTGGAAGTATGTCTCCAAATTAAATTAGAGACCAGTTTGTGAGTTCGTTATATGTTCATCGAATATCTACAACGTGTAAAGGATTGCAGTAGATTCTGATTAGTAGTAGTTTATATTTATGGAGAGCTTTAAACAAGTCATATGGTTTTGTGAAAAGAGCGATGGTCTGGAATCCAAGGGATTGTGTGACCTGAACCTCAGTTTTCTGATCTGTAAAAATGAGATGGTTAACTAGATAGCAGCTGTTCTAGATGTGTGACCCTGTGATTTATGGCTTACCAATATATACTGTCTTGTTTGGTCTTCACACAACAACCCTGTGAAATAGGGAGTCGATTTCCTCATCAGTATTAGGAGCCACATCTTTAAAAGTGAGAAAACTGTGGTTTATAGTTTACACACCTTTGCCCTAGGTCTTAACACTAGTAAATAACATGACCCTGGAACATGATTCCATTTACCCTCTACTCCAAATCCAAAGCTCTTTCCATTAAGCTGCACCAGATCCTTGAGGGAATTCAAAGAATTCAGATAGTCCATGCCATGAGGAAACTTAAGATCTAATTGGGTAAGGGGCAGCTAGGTGGCGCAGTAGATAGAGCACTAGCCCTGGAGGGAAGGCATAGAATTTAACATATACAGATAAATAAAGTAGAAACCAAAGTGTGGGAATGCATAAAATAGACACAAAATTCTGTAAAAGCTGACAGGAGAGAGAGATAAATTATAGGAATAATAATACCTAACATACAGTGCTTACTATGGTACATCACCTTAAGGTTATCTCATTGGGCCTCACAACAACCCTGGGAGGTTGGTGCTGTGATTATCCCCATTTTACAGATGAGGAAGCTGAGATTAAGTGACTTGCCTAGAGTCATACAGCTGAGGATGGATTGAGAGAGAAATAAATAAATATGTATGTGTACATACATATTTGTATGTCTGTATATTGTATACATTCACATTATTATTACAGAGGTTGCTTGTTTATGTAAGAATGAGTCCTAGAAAATGTCCCGAAGCTATCAGTCATATCGAACAAATCATCTCTGCAATATTAAGGGAAGAAAAGGAAAAAAAAAAACAGAAGGTTTAGTGAGTCAGTGTAACTAGGACATAACATTAAGGGAAAACTTCTTTTTAGGCAGAGTATTACAATTTCTAAATATTTAACGTTCCCTATTCTGTTATTTCTTCTTTGCTCCACTTCCCTTTTATACAAAAGCTATTACGCCTAAATTAGGTTTGCCAGTGTTTTTAGACATCAGTAGACTTAATGAGTTCACTTTGGGCCTCAGTTACATGGGCCCACTACATTTTTACTGTGTTTTTCCCAGTACTGCCTATTGCAGTTTCACCCCCCTAAAAGAATCAGATTCCATTTCTTTTTTTTTTTTCAAGATATTTTTCAAGATATTCACTTCAGATAAACAAAGGAACCTCAAAAGAATGGATAGGGCATATCAAGTTTGTTCAAGGCACAATTCTTATTATTCGTATTACTATTCATTAATTTCTAATAGGCCTCTTCTGTAAGGTAGAGGCTTGGACTATTAGATGGTCACTAGAGTCTCATCAAGTCAGTTCAAAGACACAATAAATTGTAGGCCAGCTTTTTAAAAAGGAAGACCATTAATAACTGGAGAATGACCAGCTCAAATGTGTTTTATAAAGACTAATTAAAGGAAGTGGGACAATTTTCCCTTGAGGGAATAAAAGATTTGATTATAGATGGGAACTGTTTTTGAAGGGCTGTTATCTTGTGGGAGAGGCCCCGAAGGGAAGAACTGGAAGCCTTTGGTGAAAGTTGAAAAGAGACACATTATAGGCCTGTGATTAAGTAAAACTTCTTAACAATTGAGAAACTGCCCCCAGTAGAATGATCTGCAGGTGACAGTAGGCCACTCCTTAGGACAGGTCTTGAGGCAGAGGCTGTATGACCATTTGGGTCAGCTGGGTTGTTACAGATCACATAATGTCTGAAGTCCCTTCCAACTCTGAGATTTTGAGGCCTAAGCACGTAAACTAAACCTTAAGTTAACCATGAACATAAGCAAAGATGTTTATGCCTCTCTCATACCCAAGGAAACTCATAAAAATGCCACCCCCAGGCATAGTCACTCAGTGACAGAAGTACCTCAGGATTACATCTAGGGCACAGCTGATGAGCTCTGACTCATGGCATTCCCTGGGCTTATCATGCCACCTGTCGGCCAGTTCTTACTCCTTGTGTGGTGCCATCTTATTTTAGTGATGTTGCCTAGTTGTTTGTAAGAGGAGAGGCAGCTGGATAGCTGCTCATTTTGCTCAAGGCACTGTGAGGTATTATTGGAATGGTGCCATTTCAAGCCATACACATAAGCAATTATGAGTTCTAATCTTTATACTGAGCAGAACAATAAGAATATTTAACATTTCCTTGGGATAATGTGTGCTACACCTTCTTCATTTTGTTTTCCTAGCAATTACCAGTTATAACATCAAGCACCATTGTGAGGTGCCGGTCTTGCAGGACATATATCAACCCTTTTGTGTCCTTCATTGATCAGAGGAGATGGAAATGCAATCTGTGCTACAGAGTTAATGATGGTGAGTTTCGTATTTGGGAGTAGAACTTGGTGTTTGTTTGTTTGTTTGTTTTTTAATGTTATGTATTTTAAATGTATTCTGACCACTGTGTCGTAAAGTGATTTCTGTCCTCAGTCCTATGAAAGGAGCACATAGGCCAAGAATACCCTCATTATGCCCCTAACCTAGTGGACCATGAGATTCAGAGCAAGTCCCTATGTGTAAATGGAGGGCAAACAAAAAAATATTCACAAAGCAAACAGAGAAAGATACCTAAGTAAAGTCCTGTGTCTTAAGTTATATGTATGCATGGCAGAGGACAGCTCAGATCTAGGAGAGAGTATCATAGAAGTCAAATTATGTGTCATTATTCCTTAGGCTGTTTGACAGGGACCCTTGGTCTCCTTGTTTTCAAGTGTGTCTCTGTATGTCTCTCTCGTAGCAGCTGTGTGGTCTGATGGATAGGATGCTGCTAATTTGGGAAGTAACATTCTAGCCCCTGTTCTTGATTTCAGGAAAGGAACTTCATATTTCTGCACCTGGGTTATTTTTTAAAGGGAGGTATTTTTCGTGATTCAATGATTATTAAGCTCTTTGGAGTCTTCAAGTAAACAACATCAAGATTGAAAGTAGTAGTTATTAAAATTTCTGTGGCATAACTGTTTAGTTGTGAGTATAAAAGCCATGTGTTTTATCTGTCAGTGATGATTTGCATTGGATTCCCAATTATTGTCTAGTTCCTGAGGAATTTATGTATAATCCCCTTACCCGTTCCTATGGAGAGCCTCACAAACGGCCCGAGGTTCAGAATTCAACCGTGGAATTCATTGCTTCTTCAGACTACATGGTAACTATTAAGTGTTTTGTTATAATTATCTGGTCTTGTGGTTGCAGTGCTTCTTTTTAGTTTTGAATTCTGTGAATCTTCCCCCATGTTTTGAAACTTTTACAGGATCAGTTTTAGGGGCTTGGGGGTTTGTTTTTGTGTTTTGATTTGTTTTTTATTTAAAATCTGAAAGTTGGTTGATGAAAAAGTAGATTTTTTTGAAAAGGCAATTTATAACATAAACATTTCTTAATCATATTAAGCATAAATAACAATAGCTACCATCATGTAAACTCTGTAAGTTTACAAAACATTTTATATAACCCATTTTTGTCATACAGTGACGGAGTTGGGATTGAACTGGCGCATTCTTGATTCAAAATCCAACCCTCTTTCTACTGTAGCATTCTCTAAAATCACCAGCACCACCACTAACAGTTATTGCCTTTTGGTCGTATGGCCATCATATTAGCTTAGGTCAGCTGTCACCATCTCAGCCTGATTCCCAAATGGAATCTTCCTGTCTTCCTCAAGCTACCTCCATTCATAGTTTGTGGAAGATGGTACCACATTTCTGGTTCAGCAGATGCCCAGCTTCATTGTTACTGGCTGAGCTTGGCCTTTATTCTCTTCTCTTCCAGTAACCAAACTCTGGCATTCCCCCTCTATTTCTTTTTCCTTCACAATCATATCCTTTGGGTGGGGCTGCTCTTCTCAATGAGGCCGTCTTCTTTCTCTTAGCTACTAGGATCTTCACCTCAGAGTCTTTCCTATCTCCAGCCTTTGCCATGTCCAGACAATTCAAGAGGTTACATCTGGACACAGTTTGAAGTCCATACTGTATATGTGGCTGTATACTGGTTAGCTTAATAGTCTGGGCCACTTCCTTTCTCTGGCTTTCCATTGTCTTATCTATTTTTGTCAGTAGCCACTTAAAGTCTACACCACTCTCCTCTACAGTTCTTCTTTCACTCTAATGAGGCGTGCCATCTTACTGTATTTCTTGTCTCCCACTCCCAGCTCTGCTTTCTTTGATATCCTGTACTAACTCTGTCTTACAAGTTGTTTTTCTGTATTATGAGTTCTGAATCTCATCCCCAATGTGTCCTTCTCTAATTGAAGATGAGAGAAAGTTAGTTGTAGTTGTTCCTTTTCACATGTGATATACCACTTTACCTCTCTGAAAAGCTTGCCAGGGGTTTTGGCGCCCTGACCTCAATCTGCAGAGCATAGCCAAAGAAACCACCTAGTATCTGTTAGGCAGAGAGGACTAGAGGCAGAGATTGAGGATTCCCAGGCCTGTCTCCTCGCCTCCATCCATGTTGGCACAGTGTTTCATAAGTAGGAGAGACCTGGCCAGTTCCGTTTCATTCAGACTTCCTGAACAGCAGCCCCTCTCCCTCACAGCCCATATCAACTCAATTTAATGGAGAGAAAAGAAAACAAAACAGTATTTCTTTGTCAGTTCAGTAGTTTGTAAGTAAACTCTTAGTATCTAATACAGTATTTTTGTTAGGTTTTTTGTTTGTTTTGCAGTCTTCTTAGTATGATATGAAAGAGTGAATTATGACTATGAAATAAATTCATTGTTTCTATTCCCTCCAGCTTCGTCCTCCTCAGCCTGCAGTATACTTGTTTGTTTTCGATGTGTCTCATAATGCAGTGGAAGCTGGGTATTTGACAATTGTCTGCCAGTCGCTGTTGGAAAATCTGGACAAGTAAGGCTATTTAGATTTATTCATTTTTCTATGTGATTGAGCTAGGTTCAGAGTTTTAGGATTATTATTGGAGAATATTTTAAGTTAGCTTTCATTATGATGCATTGTTATATGTTGTTCAGTTTTAAATGATTCTTTGTAACCCTGTGGTCCTCTGTCCATGGGATTTTCTGGGCAAAGATGCTGGAGTGATTTGCCATTTCCTTCCCCAGTGGCCAGCAGATTAAATGACTTGCCCAAGGTCACACAGGCAAGGCCATTTTTGAGGCTGAATTTGAACTCTGGCTGTCCTGACTCCAAGCCCAGCACTGTATCTACTGTACCACCTAGCTAGTGCTAGGTGCTAGTAGCAATAACACTCACTGTCCAGTGTGTTGCAAGTGTCTTTCTGCTTGGTTTGAATTGTAAATTATACCCTGACATCTGTTTACCTATTTGGTAGAAACAGCCCTTAATACCATATCAAGGATATTTATTTACAGGTTAATTTTAATTAAGCTAATGGTTGGGTATGTTTATCAGGAAAGGAAAGTTAATAAACCTGTAGAATTGGAGAGTGGGAAGGAACTTCAGCAGCCATCTAATTCATCCCATACATAAAAAGAAGCCCTACTATAAACCTAAAAAGTGGATAGCCAGCCTCTGAAGGAAGGTAGCCTTTGCATTATTGATGTGTCCCACTCCTAACACCATGATTGATGTGGCAGAGAGCAAAACCCAGAACAGAAATCATTTAGAAAGAAGTTTATTAAGTCATCTAGCCGAGGGGAGAGCTGGAAAAGGGGTGGGGTGGCCTTCTACCCTGAGTGTCTGTAACATACACATTATATAGGGCTCACACAGAGGAACAAGGAAACAGGAGCTAATTGGTCCACACCGAGACAATTTCCAAATAAGACACATGTGTTACTTGAGATATAGAGCAGGAGAAAACTCCTCACGTTAATCTTTAGATCTGACTGGGATTCTGGTCAGCACAACCTAGGTCCTGAGTTAAGCATTAAACAAATCTGGTCTCTAAGCAGCAGTCTGGTTTCTCAGCCATACAAGACTGGGCAAACAGTGCAGTCAAGTTTTCTCACAAGTTCCCTCCCTTTTAAATCAACAAGAAACATTTGGTTCATCTTTTAATCCATGTTGTTGTTTTTTTACTCTTAATATTTGGGTGCTGAAGTGGATGTTTTTCTTATTCAAGTCCAAATTCCAGATATGCCTAACATTTTTTTTTTAAGTGTTTTATCATTTCTTCTTGCATTGTCTGTTGGTTTCAGTGCTCCCCCATGAACTCTCTGTGGTGGTTTCAGTAAAGATTGTTTTGTTTTTCTTCAGGTCTTTTAATAAAAGAAAGGGCTCTGTCGACCCCAGATTAACTCATTTAGTTGTTATCATGTCATTTTTAAAAAAAAACCCGTGATACCAAGCACTTGGTATTGAAAGTTGTTTTTTTGTTTGTTTGTTTTGTCTTTAGACTGCCTGGAGATTCGAGAACAAGAATTGGGTTCATAACCTTCGATAGCACGGTTCATTTCTATAACTTACAGGAAGGATTATCACAGCCTCAGATGTTGATTGTCTCAGACATAGATGGTAAATACTTAATAAAAGAAATCACCACAGTCTTGGACTGGTACAGAATTGTGAAGTGAAATGTGCTTATAATTTCAAATCATTTGAGTGAATGGTAACATACAGTAGAGATAAAATTACAGGGCACACACACCCTGATCTGTAAGCCTTTAATTTAATATTTTTCTAGGAAAATACTTTAATTTTTTTTTATTCTGTTGTGCTGTTATTATAATTAGTTGTTACATTTAAATCCATTTGTATGCAGATACATTCCCTATTCTGTGTAACATAATTTAGCCAAGACTTACAGTACTTTCCTTTATTATAATCCTTTGTACCTTGATTTGTTTATTAGAACATCTGTTTTGCCCACAGATATCTTCTTACCTACACCTGATAGTTTACTTGTAAATCTACATGAAAGCAAAGAGGTAAGTGGCTTTTTTTTTTATTATAACAATGCTGTGATTTCAGTAATTTGAAAGTTAAACATTTAGTCTTTAGTTTCTTTGTATAAAAGCTATCTGTATTTAAATGTATTGTTTCAGATGGATTTTCTGCAAATAATACATTGAAAGCAGCCACATTTCATCATTAACGGTATTAGGTTTTAGAAAGACTTGATATTTCAGTTACATATAGTCTTGAACCTAAAAAGAAGTGAACTGAATTTTAACACAAATGCTCCAGAATGCTTTAGATAAGTAATTTCCTTTCCTTTTTAGTAACTATTTGTAATCTTTGTTTTCCAGCTGATAAAAGACTTATTGAGTGCTTTACCAAATATGTTCACCTATACAAGAGAAACCCATAGTGCTCTTGGTCCTGCACTTCAGGCTGCCTTTAAATTAATGTCTCCAACAGGTGGCCGTGTGTCTGTATTCCAGACACAGTTACCTTCCTTGGGTGCAGGACTCCTGCAGTCCAGAGAAGATCCTAATCAGAGATCCAGCACAAAGGTATCTTAGATTTTATTTTGATATCGAGTTCACCAGAGTGCTTTCCGTTCCCCATCTTTTCATCATAGGACCCCAGTCATTTTTTGTGTACTTGAATTCTTAGTTAACCTTCAGACGTTAAGGAATCCTTGTGAGGAAGTTATTTTTCAGTTAGTTTTAGGGACTGTTATACAAATTTTAACTTACTGAATGTTGAGCAGAGAATATCAGTTACAGGGGTAAAATTAAAGGTCTCGTCTTTGCTTTTGTCACTGTAGACTTCAGTGCCCTTAACAGGAAAAAGAAAATCATTGCTAGGAATTTCTCTTCATCAATAAGTGCCTGCTGTATTCCAAGCACTTCAGTAGGACCTGGGGTGACAAAGACAAAAATGAAACCGTCCCTGCTTTCTTAGAGCTTACGTTCTCCCTGGGGAAACTGTGTTTGTGGGGTGTGTATCTGTGTGTATGTACACATACACAAAGTCAGTATGAGGTAGTTTAGGGAACGAGGGGACTGGCAATTAGGGGGATTGGGAAAGATTTTATGAAGGTCATTAGTCTATAAGAGGTCTTTTGTTCCTGCAGGTTTTTCCCTCATTTAGGCCAAATACATGCACTTCTTCTCCTGTTTTTTTTTTTTTTTTTTTTTTTTTTTTTACTAAGCAGAGATGCTAAAATTGAATGCTCATGACGTCTTTTTAAATAGCAATTCACCTAAGGTGAATAAAAACTTATGCCAGGAGGAAGCAAGAATGATAATTTAAACATTTATGCTGAATTCCCATGGGAGGCAAAGTTGATTTTAAACTGGTAAATTTTGTCAAGAAGAAACAAAGGGGGAAAGGGCTTTTTGTACCTACTTCTAAGTACAGCAAACAAATTTTCATTTCCAGTTTAGCTATCCATTAGCCTGCAAAGATATACAGCCTCCAACCTTCTAAAAATTCCTGAGTTATCAAGATAACACAGTTCTTTGCTGTTGGACTGTTCAAACAAACTATCCGTTTTAAGTTTCTAAAATACTCTCTGCCTACCTTGGGCTGAGAAACCAATTATATTAGTTTATTCATTGGTCAGACTTTTTTGCCCTCAGGTCTGGCATCTATAAAATCTAAGTGTGGTCTTAGTATAATTTTTTTTAATGTGTAGCTACATTTTTTTCCTTTCAAAGAGATATCGCTTTAGGGATCGAACTTGTCTTAAGCAGCTAGGTGACCTACAATTTGACTAATTCCAGCATATGATACTTTTGGGCCCATATCTCCTACCGCGTTTGTGTTTAAAGTCATTAAGAATCAGTGCCCTGAGATAAATACTTCTGTATGCCCAAGCTACTTCTCCTGTGTACATAAAATGGATCTTCTTTAATTTTTTGCTGAAGGTTGTGCAGCATCTTGGTCCTGCGACTGATTTTTATAAGAAATTGGCATTAGACTGTTCAGGGCAACAGACAGCAGTGGATCTGTT